GTGTCCATTTTGACTCAATACACATATCTGGCAGATAACCAAGATCTATATGCAAGCCAATCAAATCTATAACATAGCCTAAATAGGTCAAAGAACAGCAATAAAATCTATATTTCTCCCAATTGAAAGTTAAAGCAGTCTTAAAAAATAGACTAAATTTCTCTTGCAAGATTTTGAGATGTTTACTTAATGTCAGAGTTACAATAATCATGTCATCAAGATAGACGAACACATAGGGATTAACATCTGCACTAATATCTCTGCCACGTAGCTGGTGAATTTGTTAAATTTCCATCAATGCCGCAAATTTTACCATTTCTATATTTATTTTGCCATAAGTATTTTCCAATAAACGACTACCAAATTCGTTTATTATTCTTTCTAAAGAAGGTTGAAAATGAGCGTCTGGTAAAAAACTATCAGACTATCAAAACTGATAAGCTGAGACTTTTCCACAATTCCTAATTTTAACATATTATCTAATTCCACATCCACAAATTTTTGTATTGGTATAAATACCATTGTTTGAAGGTGTTTGAGGTGGGTTATCTCTTCTCCTTGGCCTCATTAGAAGAAGGTCTCTGAGTGTCTGCGAAAAATCTGACCCCAAATTTCAAGAATGCTGCATGTAGGAATAACGAATAACTCAGCTTATTTGTAATTACTCTGATTAAAAGGTAATCAATAGTATCCAACCAAAATTCAATTTTGAGATGAAACCGACACCGTAATTCGAGCCGTCCTGTTTTAGACAAAGCCGAAGCTGAAACCGAATCTTTTCTTAAAATATCTCTTTTAACGTTCATTTTATAATAAGGCGTAAAATTTGTAATGTGTTTTAAAACTTCGTTCTTCTAATTTCGGCCTTTGCACCAAAACTAGTTAGACACAAAAACTAAATAAAGACCAATAGAAGTACAACGAAATCTTTAAAGTGTTTGATCTTTTAAAAAAGTTAATAACAATTGCAATAAAGTTGATCAACCTTTTTTGATCCCGATCATCTGATCGTCTTTTCTCTCTTTATCGTTCATGCATCCCTAACAGTATCTATACACGATATGTTTATAAAGGATGTTTAAACAATAATTAAGAATATAAGTAAAAAAAGATTTTTAGTACAGTTAAAATACAGAAAATATCAAGATAGAAACACCACAACTTGCAAACTTAAACTATATTCTAGTTGTTAAAATTAAGATTATACTCTTCTAATAAATAATGAAAGATAAAGTAATAGATAAAACATCAAAGTTAAAGTTCGAAAAACATCAAAGTCTTCCATAATACTCATAGTTAAACAACTATATGTTGTATGCTAAAAATTTTTCTGTATTTTCTCCAAGCAGATTACATCGACGATTTGCATAAAAGCCTGCTGTGCAGAAAGATATTTTAATCCACTTTTTCTTCAGTATTCTGTTTTATTTTTTGCTTGATGGTGAACTCCCATGTATTTACTAATACATCTGCCTGTTTTCGGTTAGTGACTAGAGCAGGGTTTAGTACAGGAAACAAGCTCTTCGATTTTTGTGTTTGCATCGGGTGGCTTTCATTTCGTTCATGGCAATATTGACATCTACAGAAGTCTGCAGTTTTATTTTTAATTGAATAATATTTTCATTATGGTTTTTATCTTGAAGTTGCTCGACTTCAAGATAGTAAGCTAGCCAAGATAGTCACGTAAGCTTGAACTTCAAGCTTGTGAAGTTGTATCATAGAGTATAGCTTCATATAATATTTTATCTACGACTGCTTGAATAAATCATCATTACTACACTCATTTGAGGTGATTTGAGTTACGTAATGAAGTTCATTACCGCACTGATTTCGTTACGTAACGCATTTTTAGCCCAATCAAAACATACTTAATTTATTGAAACGAACAACAATACAAAAGAAAAAGTGCTACCTATTTAAAGAGAAACAATACTATTTTTTATAAACATTAATTGTTATGTTTTTACATTTCGAAACACTTATTCCAGATGAGTAAACATGTTATTGAAACGGACATTAATTCAAAATTGTCAACAATCATTTCAAAATATTTTTATAAATGTCAAAATAGACCTTTTTAAAGAAATTGATTTTTAAGTAATTTTTAGCAGTCGTAGATAAAACGTTGTATATCACACGTGGGCTAGAGCATAATTACAGTACTCGTGGGTTTACACGACTCGGTCTATGACCTCGTCGTGCAATTCTCCATACTTGTGCAGTAATTATATTTCTAGCTCACTTGTAATATAAATAACTATTAGCACAACTATTTGACATTCGTCAGATTTTTGTTATGTCTCAGTCAGAAGACCAGCCTCCAAAGTAGAGAGATTTATTGCTCTCTTTTGTTTAAAAAGTTGTTGCAACATTAAGTATGCAAGTATACAACATCAGATGGAGTAGCAACCTGATTTTCTGTCATAAGAAAAGACATTTGACAGAATAGATAAATGGATGACTTTGACAAATTTTCTGGATAACTGCTTCGACGAAAATGACCTACAACTTATCTAAAGGGTTTGTCTAAATATTTTATTTCGTTTATCTAAAAGCAAAACATCTTTTATGACTAATTACAGAGCGTATGCGCTACATAATTTAGTGATTGCTATTGTGCTCGCATTGCATATACCATATTGGCTTCATTATCTCGTGTAATTAGGAAGAACACGTTGACAACATTCCAGTAGTTCACTATTTCAGTTATTTTTTTTCAATATCTTCTACGATATGGTATATACCCAATATTACTTTTATTCTTACTCGGTTTTATGATTTTGGTCTTCACTTTGTTATGTTTTTGGCATTAACGGTGCCAAATCCCTTCTATAGCTCTTCTAATACATCTCTCACTTTTTATAAATATATTTATGAATACCATTAGAAGCGCAAAAATTGAGACACATCCTCTTCTTCCACAACTGAATACGGCAACATATATTAACCAACATAACATGCACTATAGCTTCACCAACTCTTTGGGTTACTTCGTGGTCGCCTGGCCATACTGGTCGCATACTTTTTGTCATCAAGTCAGGTTTAGTTGATTGTACAATTTTCTATCTATTGTTACTTTTTTGAATCAAGGGCCTATAAAGATCAGCATTACTAATTTATCTTTGCAACCTGAACCGATTTCCTGAACAATTTATACAACTTTAGATAGTGATGTTTGGAATTCTGCACCTATAACAAAGTTGCTTTTGAAGATAATAAGTAGCAGAGGCACAAAACTATCCACAGTCTACTGTCTTTGTAAAAATGGTTTTAAATTCAGACCAATCTTGTAAACATATCTTTTTATGATGAAGGTATCTACGAATCAGTTGTTGTCATAATCAGAAGGAAAAAATACTGGTCCAATTCATTTTAAATAGCAAAAGAATTGTGAGGTGCTCTGCACTAAACTAGCGCGTTTTCCTGAAATAAATGGATCGCGAGGGATAAATGAAAAGTTTCCCGTGTTGACTAAGAATTTAACTAAAGTATAAAAGTTTTCATAAATCCCACAAGAATTTCTATAAAATATTTTATATCGTTTCTTGTAACATAAGCTTATGTCAAAAAATTTTTATTTACATTTTGTTGAAAGAAGCAATACGGTTTATATCACGATAGTGGATGTACGTCACCTTAATGCCCCTGCAAATAAGGTAAACTGTGTACCGTTCAGCGTCGCGAGAAATTGCTATTTTCCTAGCACTCGTCGTTATTGCGTTCGTGGAAAGATTGGATTTCGAAACTTTCATATAGCCCCGCACACTAGCTGAAGGAAAACCGACTATGTGGGTGTGTGTGTGGGGCGAACGATACCAAAAATTTTCTTTTTACATCGTGAGGAAACCTGTGCAGGGTAGATAAGGAACAGCTCTTTCCCCCCTTCATACTAAAAGATCCTATTATATTTTCATCGTCGGTCTATTAACTGAAAGCGAGGAGATTTGATACGTTGTATCTCTTGGGAATTTATATTGACAGAAATGTAATCTTTGTTATTTAGGTTAGTTACCAATTTTAATTAATAAATCACTTATTTAGATTTCTTATATAAACTGGTGGGGTACTTTTTAATTTTTCGTTGCCAAAGTGCAAACTTAATTAGCCACTAAATCCAAATTAACGGAGTTTCGAAACTTCCGTATTTAAAATAAGCTGCCGGGTATCTTCATTAATAATCCGGATGGGGCAAAAACGAAATTATAATAAATTAATATTCAGCTTAGCGTACTCTGTTCAATTATTATTTTAATTAATTATCCAAGTCGATTTCAAATTCCTTGGCTCAACATTTACATTAATAATTATTGTCCACCAAAGACAATTTGTTACAATGAAATATCACAACTTGTTTTCGAGCTTGCTGATTGCCCCTCTAATTAGTCATTAAGCGAACGAGGGCAATTACCAATCTCCGCGAAGAGACGAGACGAAGATAAACGAATGCGCTCTAAAGTGAAGTTATTTTAATAGAAACTACATCTCGGAAACAAGGAAGCTTACTTGTTCTGGAGAACTCCGTTTCTTTGAAGTGCTATATAAATTGAAATTGGAATTCGAATACAGAAGAGTACCAAGCGGCTCTTCGTTGACGATATTAGTTCACGAAATACGTCACGATATCTCAACGCAGTTCGTATAATTGTTGAAAATGACGCAGGGTATTGTTCAAGCGCATTATTCCAACCAAGCTCGAATTGTTTACATAGATTTCATCGGAATAGAGAATTCTCTTAACAATAGAGAATTTAAGAGCTTTCTTGGATGAATTATTACAATAGATTTTCATGTAATAAGGATCTAATCTTTTTAGGTTAAATATTAACTGGTTGATGTGGTAACACAAACATGTAATACAATAAAATTAAAAATTTACAGCAAGTTTGAACCGAAAGTTACCCTTTGTACTACTTTAATACATTCCTTATGAAAATTTTAAATTAAAATTAACTTTCATTGTTGGCTCTTTTATTTTTTTAATAATTTTTTTTTAATTTCAGGCGTACCAGAGTCTGTATACATCACAGCACTCAAAAAATTTCCAACTTTAAGTAGTACACCGGAAGACAAAGAGAACCACCAACAACTACAAAGTTGTACGGATTTAAAAAATGTTTGGTCACCGTGTCAGTGTCACTTAGAACTTTGCGTCGGTTGGTATCCGTGTGGACTGAAATATTGTAAGGGAAAAGGTGAAAATAAAGGTCCGATGACGTACCGTTGTGGTATAAAAACCTGCCGGAAGTGTAGTTTGTTTTCTTATTACGTCCCCCAGAAGCAACTGTGTTTATGGGATGAATGACCAACGTAAAAAAGCTTCGTTAATTTTTTTTTCGACGCCTTATTGTCTCTCTGGGTTGAAAGGTTGTTCCATTAATGTTTGGGTACGAATATATAAAAATATTTCCATACCTCTTACCTCCATCTATCACTAATCCTAGCAATTTATTGTATTTTATAGTATCAGACTGCTAATTGTGATACTTTGGTTGTTACTTCCTATTAGATTTGTTTTAAAGGTTGTGTACCTGAGAATTTTAAAGCTTAAATAAAAGGTGCTGAAAAAGAAAATACGATCAATAAGACAGAAAGTTGACGTTAGTATTTATTAGAATTAGATTCGGCTAATAAAAAATATAACTACTTAATAGTTAGTTAAAATAAAGCAATATTAATACCTATATAATTCAGTCAAAAACATCGAAAAAATTTACTTCCGGTTTGCATTAATGGAACAATCGCGCGCGTTTATTTTATAAAACGGACCAACTTGCCTTAGATTTAAAACGTTTTCTTTCTTCCTTAATTAATCTTTCGCATTGTCGTGTAACAAAATAACTATTAAATTTCAATAAGTGAAATAAAATTGTGAAGTAAGACGCGTACTATAAGTACTCAAAGTCATACTAAAAACTCATATTTAAGAATAAAAATTGTATAAGCGGTAAGAGTTGTAAATTAATATATAAATGTGCTATTTTCTATAATGATCAAATAAATTTTCGTATGAAAAAACGTTTTATTACAACAATTTATTCAAATTCAAGTTCGGTTTTATTTTCATTGTTCACCTTTGTCCAGGTGGTTTAACAAAAACCAGTTTTTCATTGTTCAGTGTATTTTTCTTTCCCTTTTCCGTAAAATTGCATCATTCTTACAATCGAGTTTGCTCAGTTCAGATAGTTTTCACAATTTCGGCTAGTGTTAATAAATGCATCAAATTAAATATTCAAGTATTTCAATTGCTTTAACTTCAAGTGTTTGTGACTATGTACTTTTTTTTTGACTTCTTTTGTTACGAACTATTCATTTATTTCGATTCAACATTTCTTATTTAGAAGTTAATTTCGCGATAAAAATGTGTTTCTTAAACCGAAATAACCGACGAATAAGCTTGAAATGGTACCCAAAGCGCACCTGCTGCACTTATTCGAGAGGGTTAATTGCATGCAGGAAGAAGTTAGCCGACCAGCTAAGGTACGTACGGGACTGTAATATAGTACATAAATGACCTGCATTAAGTTCGCAGCGTTCTACTTAATTTACTACCTTACCTTCCCATCGTAGGAGGTAATTTCCAACGTTTTGAAACCCCTATTGTGAAACCAACGGGATAATTTGTCATTTGTGATAATTTCACACAAAATGGGTATTTTATTTACATTCTAATTAAATTGTTATTTATAATTTATTTAGATATAATAGTCATGAAAAATGTGAAACATTTCTTCATGGAATAATTGTTTTATGACAAAGTACCCAGTAAACTATTTTCTTTTGTCTGTTTTGCGATGAAATGTACAAAGGATCCTTCTGGGAAGTACAATGAAAGTGATGCCTATTTGAAAAGTGAGCTAACACGATTATAATTCATTGTCATGAACTTTTGCATGCGAACTATTCGCCTACTTTATTATGCATTATAATTTATCTGAGAAAGTATTAGTTCTATTCTAGTTTTAGAGTTAGATCAGGATTATATCTGCCACTAACGCTATCTGCTCATACGATCTTACTGATAGCTAATATTACCGTGGAAGAGCTAGCTCTAATTGTATATAATGTTATGAGGAATAAAATAAGAAAAATATACAAAAAAATATTGGGTACATCCATGATACCGTTTTATACTTACTACTTAGACAACAAAAAATATGAGGATGAATTCTCCAAATATATGTCAAAATGTCAAGAAGAACGTTTCATCAGCTACTTCTTTTTTTTGCAGAGGCCATAGAGGCTTGTTCATCCATTCTGTTCTGCCAGCATTTCTTGTGATGCGGACGAGCAGTTATTTCCACCTTATTCCAGGTCATCCTTACTGCATTTTCATGCTTTTCAACATGCTCGTCGCAGTATCTCCTGCGTCCATGTTACCATATCTTCCATCTCACATTCCTCTAGAATTATTATTCTATTATCAACCTAATAAGAATTTAATTTCTTATTAGTGGCCTTTTCTCTGATCTCATAGTGTGCTTTCAGTGATAGCTCTCAAAATCTCGTTGGTACGCACAGTGTTATCACAGTATAATCGTTCTAAGGTAAGGTACCATACTCATTGGCGCCAAAATCCCAGTGGAGCCTCGGCGTCCTTCACCACTCCTCCCTGCCGAGTGCTCGGCGCCTCCATCCCTTCAATCTCAGCCTCCTCGGTGTCCACCCATCATCTGCGCGGTTGTCTCGGAATTCCTCAACCTTCAGGTTTTTATCAATGTAAATGTTTTATCCATGTAGAAAAGCCATCTAAGTGAGGCTTTCTTTATGTCGATTGTAATGGGTGGCTCATCATACAATATAAATGTATACTTCATGTAACATGATATTAAAATTCATCAGAGAATTTTTCTTTCACATATGCCTCGCAGGCGTACATATTCACTGGACGTAATAGTGTTCTATAAATCCGCTTTTATAAATGTAGTAGTCATGACCTGAGCAGGCGCTGGAGGCTAAAGTACGCTCCGTTTCCAGCATTGATTCTTTTCTGGATCTACAGCCCATTTCCATTGTTCTCTTTTAATGGCGATCTCAGATATTTAAATGATGCCCCGTTTTCAAACGAGTATTTTTCCTTCCTCTAGACTTGGGCATATATTTTGTATTATTATGGAAGCCAGCTATCCTCGATTCCTGTTCCATCTCCCGTAAGCATGTGTCCAGTTCCATTTGTCCTCTACATAACAAGTCCACATTGTCCGCGTAGGCCATGCATTGCATTGTTCGATTTAACAATGTTCATCCCTATCGTATTCTGATGCTCCTAATGATCCGTTCTAGAGTCAGATTGAAAACGTACAGGACAAGGCATCCCCTTGCCTGAAGCCACGGCTTACACACAAGCTCTCTCGATAGTCGTTTTTAGTCCTAGTATTGTTGACCTATTTTCTAATTGTAGTCTCATACTTGCTCTACCATGTGGTAGCTAATATTTTTTGGTCCGCATAACATATAACTTTTAGTTCGTCTTTTCTCATCCTATATCCGTGTTTTACCTTACGAACACGTTCTATAGTCCCACAGTGAGGAAAATTATTCTTGACTTTCAAGAAAAATTGTTTCTTGAATGTATTTCTTAGAAACAAGTATAAGATACTTTGAAAAAAATATTTTTGTTTTAAGAATAGAAGTATTATCGAATGAAGTTTCGAATGATAAGAATGTGATATTCTTATCATCGAAGAATATCAATTTTTTGTATCAAGAAATTCATTCTTGCGTCAATAATTTGTATTACTCAAATGAAGAATTATACAAGATTGTTGTTACATGAATAAGTTTTTCTAAAAATAATGATACGTTATTCTTGACTTAAGAAATCTATTCTCGATACGAAAATGGGATTGGTGCACTAAGGCACTCTTTTTCAAGATTATTGATGTACTTTCACTAAGAATTCATTTTCTTGAGAATCAAGAATGTTTGTATACTTGCTTTGATATGTGGTTTTTCTTCACTCAACAAAATGATCTTCTTGTGAATATACAAGAATATGATAAGCTTGAGCTAAGAGTAATAATCTTCGTTCAAGAATATATTTCCCTCAGTGCATCCATTAAAATGTTGAAGAGCAGTAAGCTGAGTATCACCTTGATTCTCACCTACATTTAAGGACATTCCTTCTGTGATACTTGACTTTGCTTTAATTGTGGTGATATTGTTTATATTAAATTGTCTTGGCGAAAACCTCATCTCCTCTGTTGTACCTCGCTTGTTGTTATGTGCTTCAGAATGCGTTATGACAGAGGGCCTCAAAACAGCTTTAACGCTGTATTCCTTTCTTAAAGAATGGAATAGTGACTCTGTTTCCCCAGCTCTGTGAAGTTTGTATCAATAGTATTTTATTATACACCTCCGTGAGTTGTTCTGCTAGTCCTCTTCATTCCCACTTCAGCAGCTCATTAAGGATATGCCTGATGACTTGCCGTTTTTTAGTTGTTTCATCTGAATTATTCTAGTCAACTTTTTAGCTACTGCTCTCTCTAGTCTTTGTCCTTCGCGCTGGTCTATTAATATGTTATTTTAGACCACTGTTTCGTTTATTCCTTTTTTATTGCTCCGAACATTTTCCAGATTCGTTTTTCGATTCTATATATGTCATTTTAATTTTTTTGCCAAATTCCTCCCATTGTTCTCCCATATGTTTATGTAGTTGACATGGTTTCTTAGTGTTTTGTTGGATTTATATCAGATAGCATAGCCGCTTTTGGCAGTACATTGAAATTTTGCATAAAACAACATGTTTAACTAATGAACCAAAGAAACAATAACAATATTTCTGCTTCATGTTGGAGGAACTTGGGGTAGTGGAATAAGATTAGAGTTCAGATTGAGAACGGTTGGTTGGAACCTGAGTATGGTTTCCATTAACAGTAGATCTGTAGCTCTCTTTAAAAAGTGTCTCTAATCTTTTTCCATGATTTCTAATTGGAACTACAATTACAGTCACTTTATTTCCACTACAAACATTTTTTTCCAATTATATTACAACATGCAATGTAGATTATAAGTTTATTTATAAAGACATCAGTGCATATGACAAACGCAGTAATTCTTCTATTTTTAAGTATTCTGTTTTTAATGAAAGGCCATTCATTTTAGTGGGTGGTAAAAATTTCTCTCTGTCAGAACATATGGGGCGCTCATATGCAGCAAGAATCTTGCCTGATTCTAAGAGAATATTCAATTACTGATTCTCACGTACTTGCCGTTACTACGAATGCAGTTTTCAACTCCTAGTTTTAAAAAAGAATTTGGAGTTTCAAGTATCAAAGCTATTTGCGTTCTATATTAATTTTGTGTATGGCGCGATGGATATGGATTCGAGGACACATTGATTATTCCTAAGAGTTTATTAGAAACATCTTTATTCGAATAATTACTTGACGACATATCCCATATGCCTCTTCTAATTTCAATTTCATATTCATCCCGGCCTTCGCCGCTAATGCGCTGAAGTATAGTAAACAAAATGAATGATCTCGACGACAACGATTGGCAACTGTAATTACTAAATTTAGTATCGCCAAATTTCACAATACCTTCATTCTTGTTTCTTCCACTCCAACCATGTTGAATTTTCTGAAAATGATTTAATTAATTTTATAGAACATGTAGAAAATACTACTAATAATGTAATCCTACAAGACTATTCAGCTTGATATGCAAGTGTTAGTTTGTATAAATCTCAACTTTAAATCATCCAGCAAAAAGACAGAATCGGAAAATAATTCGGGAAATATGCCGGTTGGTGTGATGAATTTGTGTGATTTAAGTGAAACCCGTGATCAGAATGGTAATTTTTTGCGTTTGTGACAGATATTGAAATGCACTCGAGTCAATACATCTCGAAAAAAAATGTGTTTGTAGCTTTTAAATCTTTCCCTATTTAAATTATCAGTAAACTGTTGTATATATTCGCAATTTAGTTTCGAAATATTTAATGGTA